AGAAAATTAACTCTATCCCAGCTGAAACCAGGACACAGAGATAGGTGAGTCTGGCAATATTGGGGTTTATGTGTAATTTTTTTAATTACAGAAACTATCTATTTAGAGCAATATGTTATGATTAAAGTAGAGAAACTATGAAGGACTTTTGACTCTAGCTGAGAACTTACTTTATTTCCTAGATATGTCTCAGGTGCTGACCAGTAATAAGTATGTTTCAGTACTTTCACAGCCTCAGTGTGGTTAATACTTATTTGACGAGGTCCATCAAATTGGCTCCGCTGAGGTTGCACACTCCTTGCATTATACAGATCAGTAACAAGCCATCCAGTCATGTCTGATATCTGCAAGAAAAAATAGTAATATTAATGGAGTCAGGCTTTGCATCACTGAGGAAGCAGTCACTAAACTTAACCCCTCCCTAGCTACTCATTCGAACTGATGGATCTGTAACACTTTCATTAGCCCAGTCTGGTATCCAATACATGCAAATATGCCACTTCAGATTAGGATTGTCTCTACCTCTCTACTAGACAGGAACAAAAATACGAGTGCGATTTTCATCCTCCCGATAAAATCAGCATTATGGCTATGTAATTCCCTGAAACAGAACTAAAGAACTTCAAGGGCTTTGAGGTCTCTTATCCCCATTTCTAGATAGGGCTGAGCTGGAGGGAAGTTAAATCCAGAGTCCCAGAAGAGGGAGCAAGATGAGAGAACTTTGTTCTTCTCCCTGAAATAGTTTTATACAAGCATCTTAGAATTTCAGTCAATTTGATGTGTTTTCCTGTCTTTTTATTGGCACACAAAATAGGAGACTAAAGTGTGACTAGCTCTGTAAAGATATGGAAGGAATATGGTGGAAAAATAGCATCCCCAAAGCCCCCTAACTCAGGAAATGTCTATTCAGAAGACAGTGATACTTATAATCACTGTTTTCTAAGAAAGAATATTGGCAATATTGCCAGAGGTCACTCTAGCCTTGCTCAATAGCTATGAGAGCAAGGAAACAGGTTTGGATTCATCTCTTCAATAGGCAAAGAAACTTTAACAGCACAAGGTCAGGAAAAAATGCATTTTTTCCAGTGCATTATTGCAGTCTCCATTACCCAATGCTCCTGGTATTATTGCAAGCCAGTGGGGACAAAGCCTGCACTGGGATGACATGCTGACTACCTCAGAGCTGCCAAATGATGCTGACAATCCATTCCTCTGTAAGGAGACACATGCCAGAATTTGGAGTTAACTTGGGCACATGTCAAAGAGAAATATAGTACATTTTGCAGCTGCCTGAGGAAAGAATATTAGGTCATGGACAAAACATATAAATACCTGACTGATGGGCCATGTTAGGCTGTCACAGACATCAGAAACCCCAAAGCAGAAACACTCCGTGCAGCCCTGAGGATTTCTTTCTTGCAAATTGTAGAATCCTGGTTTACAGAGATCACAGTTTTCACCTTCTACATTTTCCTGTCAATGGCATATAACATTTGTTTCGCATCAGCATTATTATGGTAACAAATACAGTGGATTAGATGGGATTTAGGCATAACAGCATTCAGGTTATAAAAGAAAACAGATTTCAGCACAGCAGGATTATTGAGTAAGACTCAGAGCTTAAAACTAAAACCGGTTGAAAAAATTCATCAGAATTTGCCAGTTCATGAAAATCTAAACATGCCCTGGCAAGGGCTCAATTGCAGTGAAATTTCAGCACATGGGCAGGGTTTGAAAAGTTTCTGCCAACTTGCCGGTCTACTTCTCTCATAGCTTGAATTTGTAGATTGCTCTGGAGAAAAGTTCCCGTGTTTACTGAATCCAGGTAGTCTACATACAGCATAGCTCACCTTTAAGACCAGGCTCCTAGAGCTACCACAGCCAGCTTCAAGACAGCAGTTCCTCAACCATCTATTAATACTTATACTGTGATACCCACCACTGCTGCCACCTCTTCCTGGAGGAACACCACATACACTGAAGCCAGCTGGCAGCTCTTCCTCCTAATATGCTCTGGCTACGGTCCAGAAACTCCTATTCCAAAAACAGAGGTGCTCCACTCCTTTAGCTGCTATCACTGGCCTGCTGCATCTTTACCATGCAAATTGGGCAATTCAGTGTAGAATTTACAGGGAAAAAAGAAAACCCAGAACAGGGCACCCAATTTTTTCTTGTCAAATTTGTACAGACAACTTGTAGTTATTTATTCAAAAAGTTTAGACAAGCAAACCAGTAGGCAAAATACTCAGTAAATGCCCATGAAGCTGTGTAAATAGTAGATCTCAGTGGGTATTTCTAAACAGTAAGATACAGAACATTTCCCGCTGCCAGGGCCCTAGCTTCCTATCAGGACAAGACCTGGACACAGGTGACTCCCCCATCTCAACCTGTGGTTTCCACTATGGGAAAACTCCACTATAAAGGCAAAGAGAACTTTACAGAGCACCCCACAAAGTTCCCTGATACATATGGTTACGACACCAGGACTGCAGGGCATACAGTGAAGCGTATCTGTCTTCCTATTTTGAGGAGGCCTGTATGAGCAATTTGAAATGCAAAGCCTGTGGACCAAATTCTCCTTTCAGAAGCATTTACCAGAGTAATTTCACTTCAGCCAAAAGAATCACTCCAGATTCCAGACTTACATGAGATTTGGTCCCATGGAGCAAATTTCAGGCTTACAAGAGAGGAATCTGAGACCTTTGGTGGCAACGCTACCAACTGCCTCTTCTGGACCAGTGTTTGGCATGTCAAGTTTACATAAGACCTCTTTAACAAGGTAGGTTATGTGCTTTTGTAAGCAAAGTACAAACTGTTTTTGCAAACCGTATGAAAAATTTATGATCCCCGGCCCTGATTCCAAAGGCTGAGGTGACTGCTTTCTACTTGTTAATATGCAAACTTGGGAAAAATCTCAGGCAAAGGGCCTCCTGAGATAATGAGATTTTTAAATCTTGGATTTTTACAGAAATAATATTTGTATGCTCTTTTCAGCTTTTTTATTTCTCAGTCTTCAAGATGCACTTGGATCATGCATTTCACTTTGTCTCTGTAACCTTATTAGACAGAAATTATTATTTATTTCTTAATGAAAAACAAAAATCTTACCCAATGACTAGACTTCAAGAGCTGTGTTTCACAAAATACCAAATATTATGAAATTCAGAGCATGAAAAAGAATAGCTTGCACTACTGTGTTCACAGAGACTGCATAGGCTTAGAAATCCTGTCTCCTTCATTTGATATTTGGAGCACATGACTTTTCTGCTTCCTTCCTTTCACCTCTATAGGTGGACTGCTGGCTGGTGACACTTTCAGTGATCTGGCCTAAAAATTCTGTATGCCAGGCTCATGTCCATGACAGCACTGAAAAGGGACAGTTTCTCATCCAGTTTATACCAAAATTTTCACCAGTTAGCTGCATCGGCTGTTACAGTGTTACTCTAGCTCAAAATCATGCAAAATGGTTCCAGCTCCTTTTTTTGTATTTAAATGGGCCATTAGAGATATTTCTTTCTTCCAGACTGGTTATTTGTATGTTTGATTTTTTGGATCAGATAAATTATGCAAAAGGACTAAGAAGTTTCAGAAAAATTGTCAAACAAACCATGGTTTTTTTGGCTCCTGTTCACTGTCATACTTGGCAACAAATACATAAACTACTAGCTAACATTTGGTTCAGAAAATTAAATGTAACTTCTTTAAATATTGACACACAGCTTTGTAATAAAGTTCAGCAGAATCTACAGCTGCAAGATATTTCAAGGGGTTTGGATATTTACCAAAAAAATAAAAGGCTGCAAAAAATGCTCTCTTTTAACATTTTTTTATGGTTTATATTTTGTAATCAAGTAATTAAATCATATTTCATACATACATCTAATGTAATTGTTCCAATAGTTCTTTCCAAATGCATGCTGTTTTTTCACACAAAGCAGATGTTATAAACACATCCTTTCTTTACAACAAATGAGTGACTTTGAAGAGAAATATCAGCTCATCCCTAAAACCAAACCCAGCTAGGCATACTGTCATTCCCTCTGTGATTCTCCCTCACACTCACGTGTGCAGTTATTATTTGACTTTAATGTCAGTCTGGCCCATTATTATAGAAAATGGTGTATCAGTCACATACAGAACTATTCAACATAAATGATCATGTTTTTCAGTACAGAGAATAGTTAGTAATTTTAAGTTCTAGGTTGTCAGGTGTACAGTTACACCAGGTTACTTCCTATAAAAGAAGTGATCTCTCTAGTTAATGACGGAGTTTCCCTTATTAAAAAGGAGTTTACAAATCAATCCACAGATTCAATTTGAAACAAAATGACAGTTTAATACTCACTTTGCAAAGACAAGGTTCTGTGCACGGATCTTCATTAATGCTACCAATCAGGCTGCAGTTACAACGCAGGCAGTTTGGATAGCCCCGATACCCAAATGCACAACGATCACATTTTTCACCTGTGTAACCTTCTCTGCATTGACACTGACCTGGCCAAGTCCCTTGAAAAGCAAAAATTCAGAAACAAATAAATAAGAGGAGGCAGTAGGCTGGATTCAAGATGTCTCAGAGGGTGCCAGTAATTTAACATTCCTTTTTTATTACACTCCATGTTATATTCCACACAGATACTTGGCATAATGTCAGTCTCACCATCTATTTTTCATGTTTAGAGTACCAGATCCACAGAAACTGCAACAAAATGGATTTTGTGACAGCTCTAACAGCATTCATAAACAACAGTATCAGATCTCAATCCTTCACATCATTTTACACAGTCAGAGCCTGCCATCCCCACACAAGAACACATTCAGGGACCTGACATACCTTAAAATCCTGAAAGTATGTTATGCCTCACCTCTCCTTCCTTCTATTTACCATTGTTTTGAAGTGGTACCTAACTAGCAGCCATTCACAAGTAGACTGTGTTTCCTCAGACTTCAACATCCAGAAATATAGCCAGATTTAAAGTTTAGGGAAAAGGTGCTTCCCACTTCCTTACCACGCTGTGAGTCAGAATGGTGCTCATCTTTAATGCAGTCAGAACTTAGAGAGCCGACCTGGTCACACCCACAGGGATAGCAGGGGTGATCCTCATAGGGAGAAACCTATAAAACAAACATTCTCTGTCAGATTCTCAAATTTTTAACTGGGAAAAGTAAAATTACATCTGTTTCTTCTCTGGGCTCACCGGAACTAATACGAATGAACACTGAAAAAGCTAATATGCAGTAATAGATCAAGGGACTGGTTTAATTTTAGCAAACAGAAGATCAAGGGATTGCAGCCTAGAAAAAACTTAAATGCAGGAACAAGATTTTGTCTTCAATAGTACAGACAAAGGTATAGTAACTGCTAATGGCCGGAAGCTGAAGCCCAACACATTCAGCCTAAATACCCTTTTTTTTCAATGTAACAGCAATTAACCACTGTGATGGTTTGCCAAAGATCATGGAAATATTTAAGACAAGAATGGATGCTTTTTGCAAAGATACACTTGTTCAAAGAGGAAGGAAATTAAAGAAATCCTTGGCTCTGTGTTCAGTGGGAGGGCAGATTATCTCCTCATGAAGATTCATTCTGACTTCATGATCTATATACGTCTTTGAAATATAAGGCAATGCAATTCATATGGCAGGGATTTTATTTTCTTTCAGGGAAAATTTTCCTTTGAGGTGCTTCAGATGTAAAGCAAATCAGTAATGACCTCTAGATAAACATTTATTGGCTATGCGTTGTTTGAAGACTTTTCTTCAATGCTTTTTACAGCGAGTGAATCAGACAATCTCCGACTCTGGTTTACTTCTTTGGACGAGCTGTATCTGCTGTCTAACCATACTCCTACAGACTCACCCTTGCTCTCTGCACCAATTTATGCTGGATTTCTAAAACATGGGTTTTCCAATTTTGGAAAATGCATGAATGCATGAAACCTGCCAAAGCAAGACCTTCAGTACGTCTCATTACAGAGAGACCTCTAACATTGCAGGAAGTTCATATGACTCTTTTAGTCACATCTTAACAAATGTCTTTTGTAGAGTTCACATCATTTTTTCAGAGTGACACTTGTCAATAAACTGAAAAGTACACAGGCTCAGAGAGCACACGTTCCACAATAATCATGTCAAGAAGAAGAGTATTTATTGCAACATCTCATGAGACAAAGAGTCTGATCTTAGAACCATTTAACACTGGTTGAAATGGGCTGAAATAGGATGGTACACAACATTGGTACTTCTGAAGACACTGAAACTTCAGTACTGGCACTTTATAGAGCTTTATCCACAGGAGAAATGGATTTCCTATCAGAACATCTACATTACCACACTAGGACTTCAAGTTTCATCTTCACTTATTCTCTTCTTGTCCAACAGATTGACCTGCCCTCCCACACAACTGGACAAGCATTTTGTTTTTCTCCGAAAGTTTTGGTGATATGTCATCTATAAAAAAAAACCTCTACAGTTTTTAGCTATTCTGCAACTGATAAAAATATATGTATTAATTACAATGAGCTGAAATACACATCATCATATCATGTTGTAATTCACCAAAACATTAGAATGGTATTTCCCAAATCTTACTTTGTGTGGTCTAAAATATCCATCAGCACACATTTCACAGTTGATCCCAGTAGTATGTTGAGTACAGTTTAAACACACGCCACCTCCTATATACTGGCCATGAATATCCATGCTCCTTTTCTGATCTGCAATACTCTGATTGTAATAACAATCTTCTGCTTTGTTATGACAGTTGCACTCTGAGAACGAATGGAAAAGAAATCCATTTTTTTTATTTACATTGTATAACAGTTCCTATATTACTGACATTTTTCAATGTAGAAAATGTAAGTAGAAGAGCATATCAATTCATCCCAAAGGTGCGTTTTTTTCTCTTTAACCATGCTATATGTTTCAGCAGTCTTGATACATTGTATTTCTTATCAAGTAAGCACATTTCAAAACCACTGTCACCACTTTAATAGCACTGTTTTTAACAGTATTCTGCAGATCTCACTAAGACAATCCTTGCAGGACTGATGTCGATAGCGATGTGGGCCATTACCAATAGCTGTCCTTTCATTTTCTGTCCTCTGCATTACAGAAGAAAACCTGCCTAATTCTTTTCTTATTTGTATTATAGACAAAAGTCTGAGAAGTCAACAATGCCAGTACACAAGTATAAATTTAGAGGATACTTTGGTCCAAACAGTCATAAGCACCTACTTTCCAAAGAGTGACATCAAGACTTGTGTAAAGACTTCAACTAAAAAGACTACTTTTCCATTCTGCAGCTTGTGCTATGCATTAGTGATGTGAAGAGAGAAAACACACTAACTAGCCCTAGCAACACATTCAGCTGTACTGGCACAGCTTAAATCAATCTATCAGACAATCTGAAATGTAACTGGCCAACAAGGAGTTTCTTTCAAAACATTTGTTATCAGAACAAAGTTGTTTATCTGACAAAATTTATGATCAATGTAAGAAATTTGCATTTCAAGTAGCCAACAAAATGATTGATGCAAATCTGCTAGTTTTTACAGGAGTATAATAAATCCCTAACTCTCTTTGAAAAAGAGACTCTGAAAGCTTTACTGCATGACAACTCCACTAGCCAGGGCGTCATATCGGATAGAATATTTAAAATTATCTTAACACTTATGATTAGAAGTAGGTCCTCTACCTTTAACCAATCCCATGAAGACAGTTAATAGTTTGTGGATTTTTCTTGAGAATTAGTATAGATCCATATGAAAAGCAACCTCAAACAAGAACATAATAAGCCTTTATGAAACTATCTAAACCTCTGTGCATACTTACTCTCACATTTGTTCCCAGCAGAAATGGTTCCTGGTCTCCAAGGTTTCTGGTGGTAGCCCGGACAGCACTTGTTACAGCTCTCTCCACATGTGTTGTGTTCACACTGGCACTGCAATTTCTGAGAATAAAAAATTTGCTTTCTTGAAATATTTTTTAATGGATAATTTAATCAATGTTGCCAAAAGTCTGCCTAATACCAGACTTACTCCAAAAAATGTCAAGACCCACAAATACCCCACAATTAGCATTAGACTATTCAACCATGCTCTATCAACTATTGGGGAAGAGCCTTTCTAGAACAGGAGGGACAAATCTTCTGTGTTGCAAGAGAGATTATTTCTTGTTGCACCCCCTGAATTATTTGAATTTAATGCCAAAGAGTTTACTTCAAAAAGTTACATTACCAGAGACCCAGACATGCTTAAACAGAAAACAAAGACAATTACAGCAAATAATTTGTGTGCACCATATCGTCAGATCTCTTTTAGCCTCTTCTTTCTCATTCTCCTTAGGCAAAGTACTTTTTTTTTTTTTTTTTTAAAATTGGAAAAGTTGTTTTGTGAAAGTAAATCAATGAGATTAAAGAATACCTTTGTGGTTTCATCCAGAGGGCAGCTTCGAGCATGGCCATAACAAATACACATGCCACCAACAGAGATGTCCTTTATTGAATAGTAGTACTACAAAAAACAAAGTTGAAAGAGGGACGAATAAACGACATTGACATGTATTTACATCTTCCCCCCTACTCCAGAAAATAAAATACCAGTATTCAACTATTCTGTGACTTGAAAAATGCCAAGAAAATAAAAGAACCTTTGAATTTCTGCCACTTGGGGAAACCTTCCATCTTGTGAATTTTTCCCCCCGCCCCCCCTGTTTTTCATCACTGGTACAAAACAATAACTGACTTTTTAACTTTAAATAAGTGTGCACAATTCCTCAGCTTCAGGGAAGACCACCAAATGTGACCTCAGTCAAAATTGGCCCTATAAGAAGCCATGAAGCATAACAAATCGCTATATTTTAATTTTAGTCTGGGGAGTAAGAATATGCTTTCTCAATATGGGAACTCTGCCCTCCCTTAAAAACAGTTTGTGCACTCGCTTCCAGACCAGCTAGCTCTTTGCTACTAGTGTGTAGGCAGTGTATTATTCTGTCCAAATTCTTAGCTTAAAAATTGGTGATACAGCTGAGTACAATCCATTAATATTGCCAGGTGGTGAGCAAAACCAACATACATAAGGAAAGGATTTAATTTTCAAGGAAAGGAAGAGGCAGGAAATGACCATCTGGGTTCAGTTACAGCTGGAGTATCAACATGGTTGTCCTGTTTGTATCCTGGGAAGTATGTACTACAGGGGAATGAAAAAGAAACGCTTTTGAGGATACTTCTAAGGAAGGAGTTCAAGACTCTCAGACCTAACAACCCTACAGTCATCTGGTTCAGGAAGAGGAGGTGGCCCTGGGTGGTCAGACATGCTGACTCCTGGACTGTTATTTCTTTGAAGGATCTTGGAGCTGGAGCAAACTAGCCTCTTTGATTTCATACTTAATTTTTAATGTTTTTTAAATTTTTTATTATGTTCAGTACTTTAGTATTTTTTTAATGTTATGGGCTTTAATTACAAAAAACATTCAGGGACTCATCATGAACAGTAAGTCCTTAACTACAGAGGAGAAGGAGCAGACTGAGAAAATTAGGACAAAACCAGAGCTGTATTTCTCACTGTATTCCTTGCTTCATTTCCTTTATCTTGTTTTCTTAAAATGCACAGTGTATGGCTCACAGCAGCTGTGTGCAGCTTGAAGTTGGAGATACCAATGCTAATCAAATGCTACAGACAGAAATAAATAAATAAATATAATAGAGAAATAAAGGTGCTATTGAACACTTAGAAAAGTTCTGCATCAGCCCTTTCACAGGACTATGTACAAGAAACTAACACAACTGGTATCAACAACTGGATGTAAAGTCTTCAAAAACAATAAAAACACAATCCAGAAAGCTAGAAGTGATTACCTTGGTTGTAGTTGGTTGCACAGTGAGACCCAAGGTGAGACATCAGGATTTTGGGAACCCTGCCCAATTTCATGCAAAACTGCACTAAGTAGTGCTAGGCAGGGTACACTAAGCCCTGGACTGCACAACTGTTTGTGTTACAAAAGCAATGGGAATGCTTGCCCTCAACACCCTTGTTTCCCAGCTGTATGTCTGTATGCTTCCATGTCAAGCCTTTCTTTTTGGGGTGTATTTCTTGATATTACAATACTATCAACAGACCTACATGTCAACCAGCCTGCTCCACAGGAACATCTCAACTGCCCAGGCTGTGCATTAACCATTTCCCTACGGCCAACAACGCACAGCTGGAGCAGCTGTCCAATACTCTGCACTTGCAGTCTCCATGCGAACAATTCCCTTATGGGGCAGACAGAACAAGCAGAACATCCAGGTTTTATGCTTTCGAAATGCTGCAGCTGAATGGGCGCCTCCATGACTGAGGCAAGAGTGGGGCTGCCTTGAAAGTACCCACCAATCTGGACCAAATCCAAGTTCCTTTCTCCCTTCTGTACTCAGCTATCCAGCTAGATCTCATAGAAGTTGTGTCAATGCACAAGGATTGTCTGTATCAGAGAAGCCACAGATTACAAGAGTTCTGTTGCCATGCAAGGAAGAGCTGACTGTGGATGCTCTTCAAGGCAAATAGCTACAAGGGAGGGGAAGAGGAAACACTTCTCATATTCTTCTGTCCTCATCAGAAAGCCTGCCTTCATACAAAAGCTTGAAGCCACTGATCTCCTAACCTATGGGTCTCAGGCAAGTTAAGAAGAGGGTCAAAACGGCAAAATGCAAAGCAGAAACACTGCAGAAAAGTTAGTCATGATAGGTACTGTTATCAGGGTCTTCAACACCGAATTTCTGTGAGAGCTTGAAGAAGTCAGCCTAAGTGCTTGGTTCCTCAGTTTCCCCAGTTTCAATATCAAATGTGTACGGATCAGTTAATACTCTCCAGAATTCTACCTGAGTGTTTTGCATTATTATTAATTCATGGGCTTCAAAATAATTGATTACAATAGCCTTCAAAAATGAAGAAAACTCTCATCAGACATCAAAATTCACAATGGCAAGGTTTTAAAATAAATTTTTATGAATCAGAGCCCTGGATCCTGAAATCCTTGATACACCAGAAAAGGTACTGCAGCTGCATCAAGAGCAAGCTCAAGTGACATTTCCATCAGCAAAACCGTATTTTTTACTTTGCTGATAAAGCATCATCAACATTGTTCCTAGCATAAATCATTTTTACAAACAAATAAAACAAAAAGCAAACAAAAAACAATCTCTAAAAAGCATTTTTTCAAAGTTGTTTCTGACAATATATTGTTGTTAATAATGTCAAAGGGAAGGCAAGAATTATTTAACAACCTATCACAATAATTCTACTTGTGGATGGCAAGGATCGAGTCCTTCTTCCTCAAACAGATCAGAAAAGGCTATCCCATAGAATCATACTGAATACCATTTATGAACAATGAGCTTACCCTTCTGGTAACAATGGGGTCTAGTTCTTTAGGATCATTATGGCTCAGAGTCATGAGGTCAGCATTAAGGGTTCTAATACGCTGCAGTCGTAGGCGGATGTATCGTGCAGAAGTAAACTCCAAGAGCTTTTGTGAAGGATCATCAGCACTAGGCCTACCGTTGATCAGTGATGTGTGAATCTAGAAAGAGGGACTGGCTTAATCATAAACATAATTGTGATTCATTTGCAACAACAAACATCTTAGTGTGAGAATTAAAAACATAGAACTTTGTTTTCCAACAGCTCAGGATGGTGAGATGTTAAACTGCCTGGGATTCTTTTTTCTTCCCTGCCCTCTACCTGCAGGTAGCATTCCTGCTTCCTGACTCCGCAGTTCTGAAACCACCACTCTCAGCTCATCACAGTCTCAAGTCTCCTCGACTTTTGTGGAGATAGCATAAAGAGAAAAACAGTACCAGAAGCTAGTCCTTAGACCCCCCGGTCTTCCTTCCTCTCCCTTATTGAGATGGAAGAGGTAAAACTGGCCATAAGCACTGTTTTGTCCTTACAGATTTCTCCTCTGCAATTCGTAAAGATCTTATTGTAAAACATGATATGGCGCATATGCACAATCAGCGGTCATTAATCCTATGCCTTGCTGGGACAGGGCTGCCCAATCAGCAAGGAATACACAGTGATATGACAGCACAGTGGGAAGCCACAACACAGATGACAATTGAAAGCAAGGGGCTGCTACCACAAACCAACCCATCTGGCCTCCATCTTTCTCGCACAATCCCAATTGGCCCGACTAAGATGGCTTTTGGCATCGAGCTGCAGAACTTACTCTGGCAACAGCCCCCTCCTTCTTTCCAAAGCAACTTTGTAACACAGAATGATTTAGTCTCATATGACCGTGCAGTTCCTGCTCCATTTTATGGAAGAAACTGAAAAATGAGACCCTACAGGCCACAAACAAATGTTACACAGTTCACCTGGTGTCCACAACAAACAAGAGGTCATGTTTCAGGCTTGTCAGCTACATTTTAGAGTGCATGACATATTTATGAAAAGTAATTTTGTCTCATATACTACTCTTGAATTTATAGTTTCAACTTTATCCAGTACTGTCAAATCTTTCTTCTGAAAATATTTCTAAATATTAAAGATTTTTTTAGTATTATTTTTTAAAAAAATCTTAATTCTGCAGTGGAGCTAGGGGTTTCCTAGACAGTAACTGTGTTATTTCAAAAACACATAAACAGGGACTGCTAACGGAGTTCACACTCCCAACATTATAATTTTGCCATTTATGGCTATTACTATTTCTTCTAAATATTCTAATATACTGTGTTCAAAGAATTTCACTTTTCTGATAGCTTGTTCAGAAACTAACCATCATCCATTTTCCAGCTGCAGAGTAAGTTACAAAAACCAAAATTTTTCCAGGTCCAATACTGCAAATCAACACCACCTTATCTAACACTCAGCTCTCATAGAAACAGAGAATTCTTCTAGTCCATTTCCTACCCCAAAGCAGGATTTACTAGACTTTTGTTAGACGTTGGACCAATCCGTTCTTGAAGACCACTGTCGGTGGTGACTCTACAATCCTCCAAGGCAATCTATTCCAGCCCTTTCTGCCTTTATTGTTAGAAATGCTCCTAATCTCTAAACCATATTTTCCTTGTTGCAATTTCAGACCACTTCTTCCATCCTGTCACAGACATGCAGAACAGATTATTCCTCATTGTACCCATCATGCAACTGAAGACTGAACATGCCCGCCCCATCTCAGTCTGTTCTCTCTAGGCAAACTGGTTGTGATATAGTCATTCAGAAGACATGTTTTCTGGTGGGAATTATAGGACAGAATTGTTTGCCAAATATTCAAATATCACTGCACTGCTTCCACTGAAAAAAAAAACCCCAACATATATACTCACTATAAATGAGCTCAACTTTAGCATGGAGCACCACACCCTACTCTCATTCACCTTTAACTATGGATGTAGAATTTGCTGGGCTCAGTGCAATCCTTTGATTTTCACAACAAAGAGAACCCAACCATAGCATTGGGAGTTCCAGCATGTTGTGTTGCCTTTCTATCACCTCAACTGCAGACATTTAAAGATCCAAAAAGGCCTGCTACAACCAACTGGCCTTACCTCCTGTGTGACATGTGCCATTTGATTTTACATAGTCTTTCTTGCATAAATCTCCAATTCTCTGCTAACGCATACTCTCCCTACTCATGAATAGTGCCTTCAAGTGATGAATTATGAAACATTACTCACATTGTAACTCTGAAGTTATCTACTGGCTTGACCAGTAGAAATTTTGTAATAATACACTATAATTTCTAGAGACAAAAGAAGAATCTTTCCTAGCAGGAAAAGGAAGAAACAGGAGGGATAGACACCAAGACACTAAGGAAGAAAAAGAATGATTCTCCATGTACACTGCTATATTTGGCTAATATTGTTTATATATGGCTTATATACAGTGATATTTGTATTACATATCTTTGGCTTACTTGTCCTCCATAATTCCAGACCATTTCTAAACAACTGTAGTTTAAGCCTTGGAATACATCATGAGCCCTGACTTCATTATGTAAATTTCTGGAAGCAGATCTGCAAGCAGTATAAATCAGGTAAACAACAGAGCTTACAGCAGAGCAGCTATACGTCTTCAAACCTGCGAAAAATGCATCAGCCAAACTGGAAAAATGTCTGATTTGCCAAAAATGTTATTATTAAGTGACATCCACATTTAGACATGTGGTCCTTTTACCCTACCAGTTCTGTCACACCAGGGCACTTCAAGCTGACTGCAGAACATTGGGCTGTTAACAAATGCTGGATACAAGGCAGGTACTTGTAGAGATCAGCTGGTCTGCAGAACTTCCTACAGCCCCACACTTAAGTTCAATAGGTTGGCCAGAAACAATTACAAAGCAGTAAATATAAGTATTTTCAAAAGGGTGCCAAGATTCACTAATACAGGTTGTGAGATACTCTGTACAGGGAATATTCCTGTCCATCTGCCATTCCAGCTATGAAGGAACAACCTGTCCTTTGTGAACAACAGCTTTTATGTAGAACACAGCAATTTAATTCTGACATTTTTTATATTCTTCTGTTATGTTTTTATGTTACTGCACTCCAAAATAAAGCAATGTTCTGGACAGTATCACCCAATTAATTCTGTGTACTTCAGGAAAAGTAAATGAGAAAAAAATGTCACTAAGCTGAATCTCTGGCGTTCCTGGGTTTGGAGTTGTATGGCCTATTAGACATCAGACATACATTACAAGAGGCGCTGTTCATACAGAGTCAACCTAAGGGCTTTCTGGTTAATTGTGGGGAGAGAGGTTAAGTTTCTTTGTCTGTTCCACCTGATCTGTGGGGCATATGCTTACATCACTGCAATAAACATTTGATTAAAGTGAATGGGACTTGATGTTACTGAATTTCGTTTTTTTTTTCTTGCTGAAACATGATTTTAAGTTTATGTGAAGAAGCTTGACACACTTTAGCCCTTAGCTGCATACACTCCAATCTTCTTTTAACCAAGAAATAAAAACATATTGGCTTCTATTAAGCCAAGAGTTACTAGCATTCTCCATGGGATAACGCTGCATTTATTATCACGCTCTTACATTATAGCATTCACAATAGAATAACTGCTGGTTTTAATGTCTCATTTGATTATGTGGCTGCCTCTATGTAATAAATTACACAAGTACCATGAATAGAGTTTGTTAAAAGAAAGAACAATCAACAGTGAGGCTGCACAACTCGTAGCTCTTTTAATTATGCTACATCCCTGAAACAATGCCAAGGCTTGTTTAGGAGTTCCAGCTGTGCCAAGCACTTCAACAGTGTTTGCAGCTTTATCTCACACAACCAGGTGTTACTAACACAGGGGTTTTCTTTATTAAATGAAAAACCTGGCAAAACATAGACCCTCTGTTATAGTCTCAGGATAAAGCAACTAATAATTCACAGCTAATAGCCACCATCAAATTATATGGAGAGAACAAAGAGTTTAGTAACAGGAATATGTAGAGCCAAATAGATGTGTCATCCCAGCATTTAGAAGTTTCCTATACTGGTACATGATGTAAAGATAGTATCATTAAAGAAGAATAACAGATAATCTGGTAGCACTGAGGGCAATGAACTCTGTAACTGTAATCCAAATGTTTTCAAATTGCTACCAGTCCATGTTCTTACTCACAAACTGCAAGTGCAAAACCAAACATACCTCTCCATGTTCCAGGGGGACTAGTCTGGAATAATAGGAGGTGCAGATCACTTCATCATCTCTCTTGTAAGTTGGCGGCCCGATTCTTGGCGTAATATTATAACGTGTTAAACATTCGGTATCGCTAATTGCATAGTACTGCCATGGTCTGAACTCTGTGCCATCTATGGAGCGTTCCAAAATCCAGTTTCCAGGTCGTGGAGCATTAGCAGCTTTGATGATGACATATGCAACTTGAAAGATCTAAAAAAATGCAAGAGGAAAATTTTAACACTTCATTATGCTGTAAAAGACCACTAGAAGCCAATTGGGAACTGAACTCAAATTTTAAAAGCAGTATATGGCTTGCCTGGGGAGAGGGTAAAATTTGGTACAGTGACTCTGGATAAAATTTTTGCACAAACTTTTGACAAAGGGCCAGTCTAATCTTTCACTAACAGAAATATATATCATTTTTTGTCAAAACTCTGCACATTACAACAAAACATTTGTTTATGTGACTAAAAAAAGAGCAGTGCATCATTCTGTGTTAATGTAATAGCTGAAATCTATATCTACACTGTACATTTCAGGATTACTTGGGTGTAACATTCTTTCTATAGGAAATATGCTATTTAGCTTTTCTGAACCACTGAGGGCTTCAAAGAAGTGGGTTGTTTTTTTTTCAGAACAGCTGCAGCCCAAACAACTCTTTGTTTCACATTTTAGCTGGGAGTTTAATCCTCTCAGTAATAGCATTTCTGATAAGCTTTTTACACCCTGTATTAAAAATCTCTGTGCATTCCATTTTCATTCTGTGTAAAAGTTATTTAAGCAGAAGGCTATTTACAGACACTGCAGAAAACACACAGAGGCAAATAAGATGAATGTGACAAATATAAGCATGATAACCTTATGTAAGAATAGTAACTCTTTTAAGATGTGTACTCTCTAAGCTATACAGGTATCTTGACTATTTTTTTAACAATCCTGGGTCCACAGTGAAATTTCCATCCACACAAAAGCCCTGTTCAGCACTTCTGTGAGTAGGCAGGGCATTAATTAAGTTTATATCACCTTTTAAATGACCTTGTCATGGCAGCTAGATACCCTGCACTGGCCTCCAACTAGCTACAGCATTAGACACTAACGCTTTAGTGCACTTATTGCAAAGCTACTATCTTCTTCCTCACCTAATACCTACTATGTCACCTCACTTAAAAAGGCTGTCTTTGCAAATTGATAAGACTTCTTACAGGAGCTTAATGTTTTACATGCATTATAGTATCAAGCCACATTTAGATGAAAGAAAAATGCCATATTATTCAACCAGCTCAGAGGTGTGTGTTCTCACTTGAGTGTCTGCTTGGTCGGCTGGTATAATCAATGTAATTCCTGTCTGCCTGTGCAGTACTAATACTGTGTTGAGCTCCAATTTGGCCACAATCAGTTCTTTCAGACATTTTAAGTTTAATATTTCTTTAGGGTTTTGGTTTTTTTTTTTTTTCAATACAGATTAAAGCCAGAGCAAGAATAGCACTTGTCACATAAAAGCAGATTTTGATTTTGTCAAATGGGGCAATAAACACACAGAGATAAACAGTAATTGCATTGTGTGTCCAATTCAGTAAATTACATTTGAAACAAAACCTTCAAGTGAACAGAGCTTTGCTTAGGAGATCTTGCAGACATGAGGAGGAAAAAAGATCGATGATACTTATCTTCAAATTCTGGCTTACTAGATTTAATACCTTAAAAAAAGTCAAATGATCTGTTTTGATGAAAATCAGACATAACTTAAAACATGCTATTCACTTGGTCTGATTTTCTTTTCAGGCACTTCAGTTCTATCCTTTGAGACATCAAGCACAGACAACATTTCCAGTTGCTTCAATAAATATGAAAATTTACACAAACTGAGGATTTTGTCTACTGACTTATATGACATTTCAGCAATGCAAGCAGAAGTAAACAAAAAGAGAAGTCAGGTCACTGTTTAGTCACAGATTTACAGCTGTAGAAATAAAATTTCTCTGGGATCTGTGAATCCTCTGTTGTTCAGCACAATCTCAAAATTTCATCAGTTAAGTGAATACCAAGAATTATAATCCAGCTTCCATGGAGAGCCCCTTTTAAATGTAACTTATATCATGCCAAGAAGCTCCAACTGAAAAAAATGCTAAAATACATGCTTTTAAAGGGAAAAGAACAGAATTCGGGCAGACCCCAAGACAAGCAACTGTATTCCCTAAATACAGCCTGGATTTCATTGATTCAGTTAGTGGTAGCTGAGTTATATACCTGTTTCGCACTGGGTTATGCACAAGCAGAATCTGGGGTATCATCATTTCAGTACCCCTAACCTGAAGGCATTTGTATATGACAAGAGTTGCTTGTATGGGTATTTTCTCCATCACAGAAGAGAACTGCAGAAAGCTATTAAAACTATGGAAGTTTTATTGGCTGAGCTTAGGAACTGCTATGCACCTCCAAGTTCCTTTGAAGTAAATCATCTCTCTCAAATGCATAAAAAGATGCAAGATTGGAACCCCAGGTTTTTTCCAATGCCATGGTAGAAAATTTCCTCAAAAACTCATGTCTTTTGTTTGTTTATTTTTCGTCTCTGCCTGCTGTCAACTAAACTACTTCCTTACTTATTACACAGTCAGCTGAACAACAAATGATCTACTTTTGATTACACTGAGATTTTTCAAGACCCATTATAGTCTGCAGCTGATGTAGCTAGTTTTAAATCCAGTTCCAACTAGTAATAATGAGCTATCCTTCATCACAAACTAACCACAGCCAGTGCTGCAGAAATAAAAGACATTCACAAGAGTATGAAAAAAAAATTTTGTAATATAGATATGTGTTGTGGGGGGGGGGGGGGGGAGAAAGCCAGTTAAACACAAAAATTTTCACAGCAACTGTGCACATATTCAATGCACAATTCAATAAATTAAATCTTTTCAAGTCAACATTTTTCCAGAAAAACAGTAGCCATATTTGGTACTCAAGACATCTAGGGATTGATTTTTCCTCCGTGCCTACAGTTCACCAACAGCTGAAATGAGGATATTTGACACTATGAACCCAAAAGAGGCCTTCAAAAATCAGTGAATGGTTCTATAAGCATCTAAGTATGCACAGTGTAGAAAAATCACTGACTTCTTTTCCTGAGGATCCTCCCAACTCTCTTCCATTACACACATAGCCCATAGGTAACCAAAAATACTTCAGAGGTAAATTCATGGGACAATGAATATAAGCAACACCAGGAAAATCTGTGAGCCCCTGAATAATACAGGTTAAATATAGAAATGAAGGATTTTGTATAAATGCTCCTGCAGTCAAGAAGTCACAAGACAACCTATCAGTAGGAGTTATATACTCAGGTATTATGTTCCCAAGCAAGGGAATAAAGCTGGAGGAAGGGATTAAGGTGTTCCCAGTATTTGCAGATTAAGGTGTTTTAAGGAATGTCAGCAGATAAGAGGTTTCACAGACCTCATATCCCACAGCCTCTGCAACCCAAAATGGATCTGAACCAGGAACACCATGTAATGCAAGCTTCCCCACATCCTCAGAGCACTTCTTTACAGATTTTTCCTTTTACAAATTCTTCAGGTTTGAACATGAGCAAAGGCAGTTTCTTACCACTTTCCACATCCATTCAGTGTCCACCAATCAGCCACATGATAAACTTGAGCTGTGTGGCAAGAGCTAATGATTTGTACACTTTAATTTGACTGTATAGCTTTCCCAGAACTCATTTCCTTATTGAGCTACAAGGGTAAAAAGGGCAAGCCAAAGCAAGTTAGCAATTCCCAAGCAGGCATAGATTAAAAGTGTCATTTTACAGGCATTTCAATCCCAGCTGTAAAGACCAGCCAAATAAACTTGTACTGAAGAACCTCTTCTTTGTAGCTGCAATATAGCGTAACAAGCCACCTCTGCTTTATTTAGCCTTTCTAAAGACGTTGTTTCCCTGAATGCAGATCCAGCAACACCAAGTGCATTATTCTTGAAGGAGATTTATAAATGAACGCTTCTCCCCATTCATCAGGAAATTCTGCATATTTTTTTGCTCAAGACTGTAAACTCAGCCAGCAGTGGCCATGCAGCAGATGCTAGCCAAAAGTCCCCATTCCCAAGGGCATGGTCAGTGCTCTACAACGCACATAAATACATGCCCTGGCAAGCACAGTTTTCCTGGTAGCCTTTTTGGATAAAGACTCCCAGTTCTACTTTTCAATTTACACAAATGGAGACAACGATAAGGGAAGATTCTGTCTTTTCATATCTATGAGTACTTGAGCCTCAGGCTCCAAAAGTAAAAAGTTAAAGGGAAAGATGAGTCCCAACACATTATTTTTTTTTTTCTAAATTTCAGAAATGTTTAACCTATTAAGAATGGAGGTACCAACTGCTACTTCAAATCTACACCCCAATTCAAATCCAAATTGCACCTGACCTTGAAAAAACCTGAAAGGAGGATATGATTTTAGGACCTCAGGATCACTTTCAGTGTCCTGTTTCATACCTTACTGAAATCACACTGGCATAACGTAAACCACATAATGCAGAAGACTGCAAAATGAACAAGCCTGGAGGAATGCAAGGTTCTTGGCAGACTGCTTCTTCCTCCCCAAACAGACTGCTGAAATTTATAATAGTCAGCATTTATTTTAATTCATTCTAATTTCACAAAGTAGCTGTCCAGAGGAGTCAAACTCAGGCAAAAATGCTGTTTTTATCTAAACCTGCTGCTGCTCATTTTGTTTCTGTAGAATTGCCAGCGTAGGAAGCGCAAGGTCATAAATCAAATCTTAGTATCCTGTACATCAATACTACACCTCATTGTTAAACTA